GATACTGGAAAGTCAATTTTTTTGCAAATATTCAAGTTATGAAGTCCTACGTTCTGACTGGCAGTTTTCCTAAACAAAATCTCTTGCAGCTAATAAAGCTTTACATTTTTTAACTTTAGGTTATTATGTCATCAGTAATCTATTTTACCTATATACTTAACTATTACCTTGACAGCTTTCCTCAGCTGTGTAAAACTGTGAGGAAAAAAACAGCAGTACAAAAGAAATGTAGTCTGAAGGAGCAACTTCAGTCTTTATTATTCCCCTGGAGCCTTCAATACAGACATTATCCCATCAAAAAGTGTTAGTGTTACCATTTCAACAATGGCATCCATTTCCACGTTTTCCCTATACAACTGAACTGGACTATTTTAAGCACTTAGTTCACAAGTTTGTTATGTTAAGAAAATATGCAGGAAATCTCTCCTGCATTAAACAAAAAAGGTTTGACTGGAAAAAAAACTTCTGCTCAGTACAAGTAATCAAGTATGAACCAAGTGATAAAACAATGAAAAAATAAAGAGTGCAGACAGAAAATTAAATTAAACAGTACTCCCTGAAAAAAATAGTTTGCACACAAAACAGGAGGCCGTGGTAGTTTTTAAAATGTTCTTTAAAGCTCCAATGATTGTATGCTGCTATTTTTATCTACAGTCATGCTGAGTAAAGCTATAGCTATATGGATTTTTTAATCACAAGGTCCAAAGTTTAATCTTTAATGGTTATAACTTTAATTCTCCACAGTCTTTCTTACAAGCAACAGTACCTATTAACTGTACTAGTCCAGGAACAGTGGCTTATTGACCTGGAGATTAAAAAAAATGCAACATCATGCACAGAGGAATTGGTGTTGATTTATATGGTCATGGTCTTCCTGGACTGAGGCCTTTGCTTTTCAAATATGGCACACCTTTTGGTCCATGTACAGACAAGTTTCTGAATGCTTAAATAAAGTTGCTTGTCTGAACAATTTGGAGTAACTGTTGCCCTTCTCCCATCTTGTTTTTAATCTATTATTCATGGCAATACTGTACAGACATTAAGATTCATTTTTACAGGAAGTAGTCTGGAGTGCGGCGTGTCACATGGGGTTCTCCTCTGCGAGGTGCTGGATCAAACTGAAGGCTAGAGAGAAGTAAAATAAAGCGTGAAACTCGAGAAATGAAGTTTTAAAAAATTTGGTACAAAATTCACTGAAAGCAGCTTGAATGGTTTAAACAAGTAAATTAAAACAGTCTTGGAGAGATAGCTTTAAATTGCATATGATTAAGCAATGTCTTGCATTAAAACATTTTTAAAAGCAGGCAATCTTAAACCTGCTACTTAAACCGACTGGTAATGGATTTAATAGAAATCTAAGCTCAAACAAATTCAGTCTTGGTGCATAACTAATTTTTACAATAGTTACTTAGAACTGTATTTCTTATAAAACCAAAAAAAATATCATCTTGCTTTACTGAATTAGAACCATATTATAATCAAAACGTTTGAGTCACATCTTTAGACACTATAGGAACTTAAAAATACTTACAAGGAGTATTTAAGAGTGTCATCAAGTTCCATGATAGCTGCCTGGTTACCACAGCGATAACAGTAATTAGGTGCACTGAAAATTGTTACCACATTGCGATCGTGGCACCAGTTATAACCCTGAAAGAGATTTCTCATTAGGACAGAAAAAAAATAACTGTATACCAAACGCCACTGATGATAAAAACCTGCCTATTAGGACTACACCAGGCAGGCACTATGCCATCTGTTAACTTACTATATGAAACCGTGTCAAAGGTAGCCTTATGAAATCATTTGCCATGACCAATTAATAAGTGCAATGCAAACTGAATAAATGAAATTATTTAAGCAGCATTACAGTGCCACCTGACATGTATACCATTTTTCATATTTCCTCATTCACAGTTAAAGAATGTTGCCTTTAGGAAGAAAGTCCAAGGCACAAGGAGGAAAAAACAGTTAAACTACAGAGCTGTGAGAGCTGCCAGTGCAGATTTTGTGTTTCAGCTGAAATGTTGGCAGTTCTCAAGACTACAAATACAAATTATGTAATATTTTACATAAAATATAATGTACAATATTATGCACACACTTGCAATTGCAAAATTTACCTTTTCATAGAACAGATAATATATACATTCAACTCAAGTACCACCTACACTAGTGTCTTAAAAACATATCGATACATACAATTACAAATTTAGTTTCTGTTAATATATACTACTGTGTATTTTACTAATGCACTAAACGAACCACAGCTGTACGGGGAACTGCTGTACGGATTCCTGTGCATATAAAGCAGCCATTCAATGGCCTTTAGCAGTGCTTTACTACCAAAATGGCATCTTCTGGCTTGTGGGGGGGAAAAAGCATTGATTGGCTACCTTTATGTAAAGCACTGGACTTCAAAAATCAAAAACATGAGCAGTACCAAGGTCAGCATTCATGCAGCTAGACAGTGCACTCACTCTGTACAAGAAAAGCATGAATAAATGAAAACACAAACACTGTAGTTCAGCTATTTCTATTAGTAGCATGACAACTGCCGAAAAAACAGCAAACGGTAACCAAGCCTTCCAACTGAAAAGCTCTTACCTCCATCACCAATTGGTGAGCTCTTGAGACCAAAGTAAGGCCATTAGCATGATTGAAAGTTTCAGAAATATCCTGTCCAAAGGTGTAACCTGCACCACGTGGAGAGATTCCCCAGCCTCCACGATCATCAGGATCTGACCACAGCAAGTCACACATTGGCCCCTAAATTAAACAAAGTTTTACTCGCATAGAAAAGATTCTATAAACTTACAAAGTGAAAACAGGACTATAGCCAGACTAACATTTTACAGTTATCAGTTTAAAAATCAAACTTTATATGTACAAATCTACTGAGTCTTTAAGACCACTTAGCCCCAGACAGTCTCCTACTTACACTACTCCACACTCAGTAGGGGTTTTCTTTAATCTTTGTGTGCATACACAGCAGAACTACAAATTGGGATACATCTTAACATCTACCAGTTCTCATTCAAGACATCCCAGATAAGAGCAAATATCTACCTCATGTGGAACTTCCTGTAAACGGTCGAGTGCTCTGATGTGATCCAGTGTGTCTATAGATGGTGAGAGTCCTCCATGAAGGCAAAATATCTAAGCCATAGAAAACAAAAATTGTTTTATAATTTAATGCAGTTTTTCTAAACATCTAAGGAAATTGAGCAAGGTGCATTGCCTACACAAAAAAAAAACTCAAATCCAAATAGCTAGCAAGAATTTGTTTATTCTGTATTATCAGAAGTTTGGATGATTGGGCTTAAATCAACTGGGATTACCAAATCTTAAATCACTTAAAAGACTTCTTTGAGACAAGACAAAAAATATTCTTCCTCAATCTGTTACATAAACGATAATGAACCTTCATCATGTCTGATTCTTAATATTAGCCAAAATGAAGCATGTTTATTCTATGTACTGTGTCTGCCCATCAAGGGTTCTCAATAACTCTGTTAATAGTAGCAGATTCAGTTACAACATTTTTCACCTATAGAGGGCCATCAATTTTATACATTCAAACTCCTATAAATTGCTATTAAAGAGTGCATAGTTGTGATTTCACAGCCCCATGCATGTAGGAAATGGTTTCTATTACAAATTTGAGAAAAAATCAAACTTGTCTATAACTGAGAATAAAACTTTTTTTGAAAGGACTGCAGGTTTTACAGACATATAATATTCAGATTTCAGTGCTACTTACCTGACCATCTACCAAGGCAGTTAAGGGAAGGTAATCAAAGAGGTCTGTAAAGTATTTCCAAACATTAGCATTTCCATATTTCCTTAAACATTCATCATAAAAACCATACACTTGTGTGATCTGTCTGCTTTCATGATTCCCTCGAAGAATTGTGATGCGTTCACGGTATCTAACCTAAGAAACATGAAAGGAAAATAAGCATGAATTATACTCCTCATTAATACTTTTACCAAGTAAACTGCCCATTGCATTGGTGGATGCAAGTTAAAAATCTGCTTTTATTTCCCAAATAAACCACAGTAAAATGTAGATTGAAATGAACCCTTCTGCACCGAAGCCATGATTGCGTTACTCAACAGATCATCTGATAATTGTATTTAATCGGCATATGATTTCTAAACTGGGCTTTACTATGGAAGTAATGTGATGCCTATATAATGTCATTGATCAGATCAAGACCTTTACTTTCTGCAGATATCAGTCTCTAGCTGCTTCTGAAAAAAGCTATGGAAAACTGAAATCGGAGCACTAGAGAGCAGTGAAAGGTCACCACTTATCCCGATACTAATTTTGACATTTTTGCTGTAATTTTAAAGCTGAAACTGACAAATCACATCAAGCAATTGCAGGAACATATTGTGGGAGAGGACATCTGACAAAAACAAAAAGGAGATGGAAACAATTGGGTTCTAAATATCTTTAAATTTGCAAACTTGCCTGAATACATCAGTAATATGAAAACTAGATGTTAGGGCCTACTATAAAAACAGCATTGGTTAAATTGTGGTTGTGTTGAGGACACACCATAAGTTAATTGTATATTATGCTAGCTATAAGGGTGTCACAATGCAAATGAGAAAGACGACTTAGTTTTCTTAAAATGCACAAAAAACTCCAGCAACTCAAGACAAACATTAGGATCCAAATAATGCCCATGTAAACACACAAAAGCTAATATTTGATTAACTCAAAAAAAAAAAAGAAAAGACTCCTCAATTTTACCTTAAGAGCTACAAGCAGTGTGACCGTTTCCACAGAATAGTAGCCTCTGTCAACATAGTCTCCCATGAAAAGGTAATTTGTGTCTGGAGATTTGCCTCCAATTCTGAATAACTCCATGAGGTCGTGAAACTGTCCGTGAACATCTCCGCAAACAGTGACTGGACACCGTACCTCCTGCACATTGGACTCTTTTGTTAAGATTTCTTTAGCCTGAAAAGACAACAAAAATCAGTTACGTCACAAAAGATGAAAATACTTTCATAACCATTTTCTAAAAACACAGCTGGCACAGAAGATGCATATCAGGCTAATTAAAAAACTTTATCAACTGGGCACCTCAAATTTGGATGAAGGCAGCCATTATGTGGTCTGTTTTCAGCAGCTTGAAGGACACGGAAAAGCCAGTTCAAGACAACTGCTCATGAACTAGAGATAACACCACCACATTCCATACTTCAACAAGGAGGTCAAGGAAGAAACCTGAGAAATTAAAATGTACAGTATATTGACACTTTAGAGCTCATCAAAATATTAAATTGGTGAATCCTCAGTCGAGTGTAGCAAGAGTGCTAGAAACATTTCCCGTAGGCCAGGGAAATAGGATATTTAGAGGGAATGAGATCACTGAAACCCTTAGGGACAGCTGATCCACAAAACGAAGTAAACTACACAAACTGGGAAGGTTAAAACTGACAGCTGTGTGGGTGTGTTGACAATTCTACTTTGCATACTGTTGAAAATATTCTGCATGAAGTTTTGGAAGCTCCATTCTTGTTATTCCACCATTCTTTTGCTGTAGCAAAAAATACCCTGTTACCAAATGAGTTATGTTTTAATGCAACCATTAAAAAGGATGTCTGGAAAACAGGTCAGGATTAAGTGACATGGGCAAAAATGAATTCACTTTATTCAGTAACCCAAGAGTGCCATGCAGCTGACCTGTTTTTCCCCACTTCTGTTTAAGAATTATGGTATTTCTCAAAATAAAACTTTGGCTGAGATGACAAATTAGCACATTAGAAGGGTGCAGTAACCTCCCCTTTCCTTATACTTTTCTACAGAAATTACAGCAAAACTACAACTTGAGTGCTAAGAAACCTGGGTCTTACTGCATAATGCCGTTTGACATCACCCACCACAAAAAAAGATGAAATTCCATCTTGAGACTTGTGACTAAAACCATTTTAAATGTTCATATGGAAGCAGCCTTGCGTTATCAGAACACGCCTACCATTTTAAGTTTTCATATGGAAGCAGCCTTGTGTTATCAGAACACGCCTAGATTTATTTTCAAAGTATCCAAAAATCACAGCTCAGATGAGTCAGAGAGCAGAGGTAATTTGTGATGCAAGTCTGAATCAATCTAAATCCACAGCTATTTTTACACTCAATTTAATGCATGTCTGAATGAGGTAACCGTTTCCATGGAAGCACAAATTCCACTAAAACATTTACGATACATACTCCAGACCAAAATAAAACTGGACTGAATTCCTGCTTTGTTGTGTGAAATGTTCTAAAATAAATCTACAATTCATGTTTGGCCAACAAAGTGGTGTAAGTTCAGCTTGCAGGAGTTAAGTCATGTAGTTTTTCCACATTAAGATTGAAAGATTTTATAAAAACAATTAAAAAACTTAATTTGAGTGTTAAAGCTAAAGTGCGAAGACAAAACCAATAAAAAAACCTAACAAGTGCACTTTGTATGTCGATTACGTGATCAATCTCATTATGAGTGAGTTTCAAGTGCCATAACCTCACATTTCACAACAAATAAAGGAATCCGGCTCTCTAAAAACCAACAGCTGTGTGAAACTACACAAACAATGTCTAATTTTCATTCTTGCCAAGTTCATGAAGCTGCAGCGACTATTTGAAAAAGAATATTTCGTTAGGAACTGCATCAGTGTGCACTTCACAAAGAAGACACCAGAGGTTAACTCCACGCTGAAAAGAAAAAGGTTTCAGTTGCCAATCCTTCAGGTATGAACCTTTAAGGCAGTTTTAATTGCTTTAACTCAACCATTTATCACACATGGTTTGTGAACCCTGGGAAAGGGAGGGATAAAAAAGCCACTGTCAATCTGATTTGGAATGGAATGGATTTGAAAATATCAAGGGAGAGTCAATGTGTAGCTACAAAATTAGACAACTAGTTTCTTCAGAAAAATACAAACGAAATCAGGGATTAGAAAACAGAAAACTCCAGATTTTACAGGGTTTCCTACAACTACAAAGCTGTACACAGCAATCTTCCCAGATTTTGTGCAACAGAACTTTATCTTATAAACAATCTCTCACACATCAATTAGGTTGAATTTTTTTACGCATCTATCACCTCAAAGCTGCCATCGGAAAATATGAAAATACCTAAATCTATCAAAGGATGTTTCATCAACATTCATTTTAAAATACACATTCTGGAAGTATACATTAAACTACTAAACCTACTTTTATTAGACATCTTCAAAAACATGGTAAAATTAAGATGTTGTCAGTCTCAGCTGGTACTTCAAATTGTTTGCACCTGTTCACTGTGTAATGTCAAGCCCCCATTATGCCTGTAACCTTATTGCTAAAAACTTAACAAGTGAACCTGAGTTTCAGTGATGAAATTCCCATTAATTGAGTTTTTTACTCCCAACCCAACAGAATATAGGTTATTCTTGTATCTATTGACATAAGCATTTATTACTTAGCCCCACATTTACAGCAGTAGTTATAAATGTGAAGAGCTTGACATCTTCAGGGAAATAGCTATCAAACAGCAAATGTTAATGCTCAGTTTTCCCATACACAACTCCTAGTAGGAAACCCCATTATAAACCTAAACACCATAAAAGCCACAATAATCCGAACCATGAAGAGTGTAAAAGATAAAGCAGGTAATTTGCCCTTTCCGAGGGCTTTTCAATCTTCTTATACCAGTGAAACAGCAGCTGGACAGATGAGCTGCACAGATAAAGCAAATAACTGGGATTTTTATTTTTTTAATTTTACAAGTATATCTATGAAACTAAAATATGCAGGATCTTGAGCACTACACAATTTCAGCATCATAAAAACTCTAATGGACCAAACTACTGCACAATAACCGTAGTTATTGTGCAGTCAATAAACTGACTTGTAGTTTCATTTACGGGACAAACACCCCTGTGGGAGGAGGCAGGAGCCCAAGTCACACCCTGCCCAGGACCTGCCGGGCGAAATAATTCACAAAGACGTTTGAAGAAAAGATCAAACCACTGGCAGCCTGCAAGAGACTTCTCCAAACAAAACAACGCAACCCCTTCCATAAAATGCAACGTAACCATTATAGCCCCCCAAAATTACTTGGTTCTTGAAGTGTTGGCTATTCACTTGCTTATGACAAACCTAATTCACTGTCCCTGCTCATCTCATGGAAACACCCTGAAACTGTTGCTTCCCATCTATGTTGCTTAATTCCCTACTACCTGTTCCACAATGACCATCTCTTGTGACCTTTTATTAGCCCCAAAATATTTCCTTTCATTTATCCTGGAAGCAGCTGAACAGTCTTGCAGTGTCAACTTTTTATATTCTGACCAATTTTAACCACTGCTAAAGGTTAAAATTTGGAAGTGTTTTGAGTAATTCCATTACTGTATTAAAAACTAGTGGCAAAATGGAATACGACATTGCGGAGAGCACACTATTCTTACTGGTTGTTAAATACTAAATATAATTATCCACCAAGATCCCGAACATCTGCAAATTTGCAGACTAGAACCCCTAAACTTCCAGAGCTTTGAAGTCTGCAAACCCTTTTTTAAAACTAAAACCAAAAGAAAATGCCTTTGCAGTTTAATTCTTACCAGATGATTAAACAGATTCTTCGTAAATGTAACAAACACTACTTAATACTCTGAACAGTCTCACCTCGTTAGAAACAGGCTGTGTGGGCTACAGTATATAAGAGTGCCAATTATATTTCATACGAAATGCTTGGACAATGAAGAGAACACACAATTTTATCAAAAGTGTTCCATCTCAAACATTTCTTAATTCCAAGTTAAAAAAAGTCATTTCAATTTTAGTATTTTAAAATGTCTCTCCCTAGACCAGATGCCAAACACACCCAATTGCATATGCACTACCCTAAATACTAGAAATGGACTTCCAAATTTTTTACTTTACCTGCAGGCAAATCACACTTCATACTAAATTCTATAATTTGTCCCGAGTTTGCTAATGTGGAAAACCCTGTCCTAGCTCTTACAAAAAGTATCCATTAAGTGTTTAGACCAAAGAAATGAACAATGATTTGATGATCTTGAATGGTTTCTTCTCTGCTTCAAGTACAGAAAATCTTAGAAGTGGATCTCCTTCAGCTCATAAAACAGTGGCAGATACAAAATTATCATTAAAATAATCTATAATCCCTTTATCTTTTAAACTCTTTAAAAACACTTATAAAACAAAGAGCTCCACAATCATTTGCGCAGGTATATTTTAAGATCCCAACTATCAGGCAATCAAATTTCTTTCAATATCTGAGACAACACTGCAAAACAACATTCACAATCACAGAATAAGTTAAAGGGAAATTTAGGATGAAACAAAATAGTCATTATGTATGAAGCAACATTATAATGCAACACTATAAATCTCAATTATTTGTCCTCTCAGTACAGCCCACTGAGTTACTAATGATGCCTTTCTTTAGTAAAAAAGAAAAGGACATCTACTGGCTCATTCTGGTACAGAAGCAAGATAAGGTGCACTGAACCACACATACAAAAATTACAGCTTTGTCCTGGGAAGAAACAACGATTTCAAACAATTGTTTAAGATGTCACACAAGAACAACACTTCCTACAGCCGTGTCACAGCTTCCATACTAGGACGGTGATTTGGAAATTCAGGTACCAGTTCTCTTTAGAGGTCTATCGCAGTACTCAGCAGACTTTGCTTGCTTAGCTTCTGAGCTTCAAAACGAACATGAAATAAGGTTTTAATACTGCCTTTTCTCCTATATCTTTCCCAGCAGAAATTGCTTCTACTTGACATTTTAGTGTTGGATTATACAATGGGCGTGATGCTTCAGAAGTCATTGGACTCTCTTGTACAATATATCTTACTTTTGGTAGAAATACACACTTATGTACTTTAAAGGGGAACTGCAATGTTATTTTATTCTGGAGTTAGAAAGAATCTGCATTGAGTGCATTTTAAACTACAATGAAATTAAAATGAGCATTAAGAGTCAAATTTCCATCACGAAATAGATCATGACCTCAAGCTTCTCTCCCCGTCTGTGTGTCTCATGGAGAGCAAGCTGGGGTACGCGAAAACAAATTCCTAATTGAAGAAATTGTAAAGGGTTAATAAAGTGTTGTTATTTCCAGGTATAAGCAGTTCCCTATTTTGCGATTCAGAACGAGGCAACCAAACTTCCGGTGAAGTGAAGCAGCCCTACTTTCTGGTAAACAAACAGGCTTGCAAAGACATCTCTTTAAATTGAATACAAATATTGCTCTCAACTTCGAGAGAGTTTTGCCGACAAATACAACTTAATTGTTAACTCAACATTCAGATCACATTGAAACACTTCTGCGGTGAAATCTCTGCTACACATGCACTTATTTGCTCATACATCACATTAGTCATTGCAGGGACTAGTAATCAGGAAGGGTTGCTTCACGTTGCAATTTGCACAAACTTGCTCTCATCCATGGTGAAACCAGGGCTGTACACAACACGGCGATAACACAGTACTTTCACCAAGTTCACAATTTGATAACAATTTGAATTTTGATAACATTAATTTCCAAGATTTACTAACCAGCCTGAGAAATTGGGACTGCAGTCCCCTTTTAAGGTAAAAGTCCTATTATTTATTCCCATTATCCTGTCTCAGAGATCTGTAATTGTTCAGTGTTACCTGGGCATGTTTCCTCTGAGAAAGACCTTGTTTGATAGGTGACCAAGTTCCTTATGTATCAACCAACCATGGGTTATTTCAGCACATCCAAGAATAACTATTTTTTCCTAAACAGAGAACAAGTTTCTTAGAACAAGTAGTACACTGCTGAAAGAACTGGTCAACAGCTTATCTTTGCCAGCTTACCCTGAAGACCTATATGAAGCTTAACTATTAAACATGCAATCAGAGTACAAGAAATTGAAATACCTGGGTAAATGAGGGACATCAAGTAGACGGAAGCACATCTCATTTGTTAATTAGGCAAATAACACCACAGCATATTTAGGATCATGTATAAAAGTGCTGGACAGGCCAGGTTGCCAAGTTAAGTATGATTGGACTGTCTACAAGAAGAGATCTAAGTGAATTTGAAAAGGCCGCAATGTATAGTGTCTACACCCAGAAGGCTGTCTTCCGGGATGATAAATGCCCCCATCCACAGACCATGTGCAGTTTTAATGAACATGACACTACTGTCATCCATATATCATGGCCTTCTCAGTCACCATATCTGAGCCCAACCAAGCATTTATGGGAAATTCTGAGACAGCATTTTCCACCTCCATCAACCAATTTCACGGTCTTGTGGAAGAATGGTTCTGCACAAACTTCCTGCAGAATTCCAGAAGCAAGCAGACTCAATGCCATGGAGCATAAAGGTGGTACTGGCCACTCATGGTGGCTTAACATGTTATTAAGTAACTTTACATAGTTATTTCCATTTTTCCCTACATATACAATAGCAATATATGAACTTAAAAAAAATGTACTTTAGTCTAAGGTCCAAACCCAAATTTGTTGTCTAATTTTATAGCTACACATTGACTCTCCCTTGATAAAAAATGCAAGGGAAATAATTCTTTACTACATACCATGTTCTGGGAAGGGTAATTTTAAAAGACATTTTAAAGAAATGCCTTGTGCTGACAGTTAACTTTGACCCAGAACTAGACATTTAACTTTCACAAAAGTCACCTTACATGAAATCACCCACCTACAAAACCACTGAATCTCACTTGAAAGAGTACATGATAATAGCCAATAATAAGTATTTTAGCACTTTGTTTACATTGATGTTCCTCTGTGAAAGTAACTTAGATTAATTTGTAATCTCATGAATCTCATTAGTTTACCAGGAAGAAAGCACACAGCTTAAGAGCACTTTTCTTTTGATTTGGTACAGGAGTCTTTTGACAAGATACAAAATGTAAACCCAGAAGTTACTATATATAGTGGGAGTCCTCCCTATAGTCCACACAGACCTGCTTCCAAAACAGTTCATTTTTAACGTCTGGCAGTGTATGAAAAAGATTAACAATAAACGATCCCCTTTCAGTACTAACCATGATGCAGCCAAACCTAGTCTGGCCTACTCATTAGGAAATCCTCCATCCTCATCATTGTGTACATTAACATAACATTATGTTTTTTGACTATGGGTGGAAACTGGAGCAGCCGAAGGAAACCCACACAAACACAAGGAGAACATACAAACTCCATAGAGATAGAAGCTCAGGTCCAGAATTGAACCAAGGGCCTGAGCGCTGCAATGCTAACCACTGTGCCATCATGCCAAGACATAATACAACAAGCTTAATTTGCATTAAACCTGTACCAGATGCCAAGTTCAACTCTCCTCTCATTGAGCTTTGCCTCCGCGACTTGGGTGCATTTAACAAATAGAGCCATGCTCCACAAGGAATGCTTAGAAATGTCACTATCTGGGTAATAAGAACTCAGAATTCCAATTTAGAGGAACATTCACTTGAAACTAAGTTTATAGTTCTTCTCGATATATATAATTGAAACAACAAAACATTTGTGAGAGTCCTGTGTACAAAAAATAGTTAAAAATATATCAAAGATTCAAGACACTTAACTGACTGACAGCTCACTGGAAATGAAAACCAGAAGAGACAGGAGTACTTCAGGATCAGGGATGGAAAACGACTCTCAAGGGTCCAAAAACCTTATGGGTAACTTTACTGTAACCATGCACAACCTAAACAGAGGGCACACCTGCACACATGAAGAATGTTTCACAGTCGAAACGTTGTGTTTTCGCTCTTCAGCATGGAATAAACCTATTTCTTGTTCCTTTGCATGCTGACGCAGCTACCCACCAAGACAGGGGTCTTGTTTCGTTTAGTGGCGCTTCTTTCGGCTGTCCCCTTTATTCTGTCACAGTGATCATCACTTCATAACTCTCACATTTGAGAACAGCCCTACAAAACGTTGAGTTGTTTTACATACTAAAGAGCAGATCTTGACCACTACTACATATAAACTTAAAATACAAATGAAAAAAATAAAATCCATAATTTTACTATTTAATCTAGACAAAATACCAATCATTATTAATATACCTCTATTGAATTTAAAATCACCAAGGGCTAAAGGCGAGCTAATTCAACTTCCATGTGAGGCTACACTTAAGTCAGAAGTTGCCACTGTAAGCGTTGTTTTAAAAGTAAACACTACTCTGCCTTTCAGTACTTAAAAATATTCTGAGCAAGGAACAAAGCAAGGAAAGTTAAGAAAGAACGCCAGCTTCTAAAAACCACCGCTACAGCATTACACCGGAATACGGCGGCTCATCAAAAACAAAATACCTTAATAAACTGGGCCGAGGTCTCGTTGCTCGAATTTAGGGAACCTAGACAAAGTGCTTATCTGATAAAAACGCATAACTACTACGATAAATAGAGATCGTTTTTCGTATAGCTACGTTACCGGACAACACAGTTAGCCTGCACGGCTTTCGGAGTCTGCTATGTGTAACTATCGGCGCCATTTTAGGAATGTACTACAGCCCATCGCAAAAAGCAATCGGAAAGCGACGCATTCAATTTAACGCCGAATTTCACCGCTACAAACAATTCAGTGCCAAGATGTCCGCAGGCAGTTCGAAATATTAATCATTTAAACTACCTTTCTCCGGCAGCAGTGGTGTTTTTTCTATTTTAAAGGAAGTTCCTAAGTCAATGCATTTAACCTATATATCTTGCACCTTCAGAGCTGCTGCAGGCTTTAGATTAAGGTCTATTTCTCAGCTCAGTACTCTTGAATTATAAACTGTTAAATGCTTGAAATACCGCTTCAAATGAGCTTTTACGAATAATACCTCATTCATTTGAATCGGTAACCAATGGCAATCCACTCCGCCATCTTAACAAGCCGGTATATGCAGGGCAAGAGAGGACCCGCTCGAAACCCTCGACACCGTCCCGTCCATACACCTTTCCACCAGTTAAGATGGACATATTTCTGTGTTGTACTGAAGAAAGACAATAATTACCTTTTCGCAGAGAGTCTTGACTTGGCTTTCCGAAAGCTGCTTGCACTCGTTGAGTTGCTCAATCCATTGATCAAGTTCCTTCGTGAACGCCTTTTCGTCCATTTCTGAACGTTACCCTAAAAAAGATTAAGTATAAAACAGAAACGAAAAAAATAAAACGCCCTGCCCTATTGTTTTACAAACCCCGTTTACTCTGCGAGGGAAGGGAAAGACTCAGTCCCGGCAAGTGGGAATTATAATTATTAACTGAAGCAGATAAAAAAAGAAATACGAAGACGTCAGTCAACCGCTTTCCCACCCCTGCCTCTCCGGCTGCCTAATGGCCGTCCTGACGTCACGAACGACGCTGATCACTTCCGGTCCCAAAAGGAAGCAAACACAGTCCGCCTAAAACCGCACTGGGAGTGTGGTAAGCCTGTCTGCAGCGCTGTTGTGGGCAATGTTGCTGGTTTTGAGTACTGTGTTACACCCATACGCGCCATTCTTTGGAGGTGTTATAGCTCGGCTATCCGAAATACTGTAGCTGTTATAAAATAGATTGAATGCTATAGTCAGTACAGAAATACATGTACATTTACACTGTAAAATAATACACGTTTAGAAGGATAATGCCCTGTTTAAAAAACAGAGAATGTAATCTTAAAACAATAATATGTCATTTTATGTAGGACATTTAAAAGCAAACATTTAAAGCCCTTCACTCTATATAATTAGCACATCACAATTAAAATTGTGGAGCTCAATATGAAAGCAAATAAACAAGCACAAAAATCCTTTTTGAAAAAGATAACTTGCTGCTTACGATTTCAACAAAAAGCAGGGTTTTGACTGACAACGTCCTAATCCCCCTTATTCGCTTGAAAATCGGTCATGGCTTGTGAATGTTTTTTAAATCTTCTACAATCCATGAGTGTCAGACATTCGTTCTGAAGACAAGTTTCCATTCAATGTTAAAATGGATGTAATGGATGTAATGTTTCATTTTAATTATTATGTTAATCACCAAGACAATGATGTGTACAGCCGTCTTATACTGTTATAAGACATTTGTGTTAATGAATACGGTTGTATTTGAAGAAGGCTGCTTCAATATTAAGATATGAATTCAGTCTAGGTCCCAGATAGGCTTTTTCTTTTTACGCATTTAATGTGCGTCTTCAATTCTAAGGACTATTTCCTTTTTTTTTTTTCAAATTACCTGTTTTACTTCAAGTTACATTGATGGATTCCTATCACAATGTGCTGAATATAGAAGGACAGAAGACTATTTACCCAGCACCTGTAGAATGGTTGCCTTTACAAGGTGTAAAACATGCTGACATGCTGTTGAACTTTGGCTGTCAGCTGTAATTTGCTTGCATAACCTAGTTATTGGTCTATTACTGTTGTCATGTCTTACACGTTTCACGTTTACATCCGAAGGGTTGCAAGATATTTATATTTGAGAGTGAAAAAGTGCCTTTTAGAATATTTAAGCATTTGTCAAGTAAGTCAAGAAATAACAAAAAGGGAAAAAAGTACAGCCGTTTTGTTTCATGTGCTAAGCTTACTGTCCTAATATTGTTGAGTCTGTTTTGTATTACTTCCCTGCCCAATTGAGAGCTATGGTTAAGAGACGTTATGGCATCAGATGTACCAGCTTAGATTTTGTTGTTTTGTCCTGGTTGCATGATTATACGCAGCATTCCTGCCATAAATACAAAGTGGCTTGCTGTTGATTGTGTATCTTGTCACCTTCATAAATGCTGATGCTTACAGTAGGTCTGCCAGTTTCCAATTTATATGTGCGGAAAATTAAAAACCACACACATATATATATATACTGTACACAGTATCTTGCAATTATATTAATTTGCAATGAAATTAATAGGTCACACCATAAAGTAAGATATCTGAGAAAATTATATGGATTTTTCTGAGTATTAATATGTGATAGAAATATCTACATTTAAAAAGCTTTTGTAAGAGGATCTTCTGCAAATACATGTGCATTAGTAGTCACATTTATAGTTACCTTTATTTCACAGTAGAACACAAACAATGTGATCTTTAAATAGTCCAGTCACAATGACCATGTCACAGTGAGAAACCACAGCATTTCTCTCTGGTAACAGTGGTTCTGTTGGATGAAGTCATTTATTTAGAGCTTTTTTTAAAGTCTGGCCAGGTGACCACAACAATTAAAGCATTGACATTTCCCATGGAGATGAAGTCATTTATTATTCCTGTAAATAGCTGCCAAGAAAATAAATTTTGCTAGACTTCTTCACTGCAACATGAATCAGCAGGTTAAATACTAAAGAAAAACAAAGAACATTCCCATTTCTTTAAAAAGAGTGCCACAGCAGTAAATGACCTAATGGTGTACAAAAAAGAAGCAATCTAGTTATTCATATTTTTAAGCATGGGATTATATTTATTTACATGAACATTATGTGAGCAAGGAAAATGATACATTATTTGAAAAAAAGATTGAAGAAAAAAGATAGGAGCATTACTAAATGGCTCTGTGATTCTCTGCATATGTTAATATTGTATGAAAAACTTTATACAAAAAATACTGATCAGGACTATTTATTTTAACAATCAGTAATTAATCATCCATTAATCAATTTTCTAACCGCTTCTTTGAATTCAGGGTCTGGGGAGCTGGAGCCTATTCTAGCAGGCAACAGGCAGAAGGCAGGGTACACCCTGGATGGGACACCAGTCCATCACAGGTCATACACTGACACCTAGTGCCAGTTTTCCCAGAAGCAAATTAACCTTCCTGTATGTTTTAGGACTATGGTAGGAAACCCACACTGACGCAGTGTATACATTCAAACACCAAGCAGATAGTACCCCAGGTCTGGAATTGAACCCAGGGCCATAGTGCTGTAGGGAAGTGATGATAACCACTGCACTACTGTGTGGCCCGTTAATCATTTTTATTGTATTGGCCATTGAGGGGACCACTGGGCTAACTATTATTTATAGTTAGAACTATTATCAAGCACAACCAGCAAGATAAGCAGTTTCACATTTTGAAACTATGTTAATGTGATATGGATATGTTTAACGAGGGAAGGTCACGGGTTCGATCCCTGTATGGCCCAGGCGAACTCCTTCTCTAGGGGTGGAGCGGTGGAACTGTGGCTAAGGATCTGCGTCTGTAGCTGGAAGTTTGCCGGTTCAAATCACGCGGCCAGCAGAGATATCCTATACCATTGGGCCCCTGAGCAAAGCCCTTAACCCCAGCCGCTCCAGGGGCGCTGTATAAATGGCTGACCCTGCGCTCTGATCCCAAGCTTCTCTCTCCTGGTCTGTGTGCCTCTGTGTCTCATGAAGAGCAAGCTGGGGTATGTGAAAAGATGAATTCCTAATGCAAGAAATTGTATTTGGCTAATATTGACAAAATGCCTTTTAGACACATGTGGCGTAATTTTTAGCACTGCTGCCTTACAGTTCTTGGGTTCTGGCTTCAATCCTGGATTTGAACCCCATACCTGTGGAGATTGTTCTTCCAAAGCCTGCATGGGATTTCTGCAGGTACTCTGGTTTCCTCCCAGCCCCCCAGCAACATGCTTCCTAGGTTAATGGGTGCCCCCAAAGTGGATATGTGTGCTCCATATTGTATTGGTGTCCCAGCACATATGTAGCCCTGCCTTGTGTTTCTGAGATGAGCTCCAGGGTGCCATGACCCTCACCAACAATGGATTCATGGGTGGTCCCATTGGAAGTCTTTTCCAGAGTACACAAGTACAATATATGCAGAAAAGCCACAAAGCAATTTAACTTAACTGTTCTGAACTCAACAGTCTAATTATTTCTGAGGAAAACAAAAAGATGCAGGCTGAAACAAACGCCAAAAAACAACTCCACCTTCTAATTAAGGCTCACAGTGAGAGATACCACACCACTGAGCATTGCTTCTGTTCCAAAATATTTTCAGCTTGCTACCATAAAGCACCTGAAGCAATTTGTGCATAGTGCACACAAATAGTCTCGGACCATGTGAATTTATTATGAAGTATTTTGAAGTAACAATAACAGAATTGTTAAAATAAAGTTCTACATTAAAAAACTTATAAGTAGGTACTCTGAGGTAAAAGCAAAAATAACATTGTGGCTGGAAGGTGGTATAAAATATCAAATTTATGTGAAATTTATGTGATACTGCGTATCTACAGTATATATTATTTGTTATGTACAGAAAGAGATAAATAGATTTAATAGCCCCTACTGCATAGTCTTCCTCAACTGGTATGGTTCTGGATGGTAATATTCTGTTCTTTTCAGTGAATTAATGCTGTGTGATTTGCAAATGTTTAGCACTATGTTAGAACTACGCAGCAAATATTGTATTCATGTAAATTCATACTTTATTCTGCATTGGCACTATCACTTTATGAATTGTTTTTTATGGAAAAAATCCCTGTAAAACAAGATACAAGGAGTTGTTTGCATTGCATATTCGGGAAGGAAGTGGCTCATTCGGGGGTACTGCTGTCCTTGTGACGACTACTCTGTGTATCAGTAGAAACCTGAAAAACAGAAGAAACTCATTGCCGTGAAATTGCATTTCAATCAGTCAGACTATTGAGACAAAGAAAGCCACGCGTGTCTTCTGTCTGTACTAAATATAGACAGAATAAAATGAACCGTGCTCAACTTAATTAGCTGAACCTGTTATCTGCATGCCTTAAAATTGTACTTTCTATTACATTTGAAGCTTCAGAAGAAAGAGAAAAGGACTTGAATTATATATATAAGACTTTATTGATCCCAAAGGGAAATTGAGGAATTATATGGTATAAAAACACAAAGCTGGTGCAATAGTTAATGTTAAAAACATTTTCTGCAATAAAGTGTTTCAGAGTGTTAACAGTATCATCCCTTAATGGAGCCCCATATTGCAGAATGACAACAGAGCTGCTTATCCATCCTCCGAATGTTGCGTTGAGAAAGTATTTATTCTTAATAGAAAGTGAATAGGAATGTTAAGAAGTGGAACCTTGCTAATCACATGTTGAATACACATTGTTCATCTTGTATGTGATTCCATTCACAGATTAATTACTGGTGGGATACAAATGAACTGTACATTTATGTAGAGGAACAACTCATTGCAATCTACAAAACCTTTAGAAAAATGCACTTTATTGAACTGCATCGTGTCTTCAGCTTTATAGTATTACCCATTCTTTCATTTTGTTGATACCATGTTTTTCCTAATATTTAGGAGCTATCTAGCTAGGAAAAAAACATTGTAACATTTGCATTGAAAGAAAGCTCTTAGAAATACATATGTACATTCGTGGGTATTCAGCTGTTCTAGTTGTACCTACCTGTTGTTTTCCTTGATCGGAGTCAAATGGGACTAATGATGGAATTCTTGAGTCCTCTCCCTTTCTCTGCTCCTTTCTCGGGTATTTCACTTGCTTAGCTTGGGAAGACAAATCAAGATAACATTTATTGAAAGCAGTGTAAGTCACTACAGTATTTAATAGAAAAAGTATATTCCTGTTGTTTTTAAGGCATTTGTTGAATCCCAGTTTTAGTTTATTTCATTGGTGCATTTCCATTTCTAGGACTTAGCTATAACAAAGAATGCTATGGATGACTAATAGAGTGCCTTGATTTGTAAAACAAACAGAATATTTGTAAAACAGCTAGAAATATAAGAACACTAAAGGTATTTCTTTAATTTTATTTGACACAAATTCTCACCATTATTTTCCCTTTCATTATCTTTAATAATTGGAAGCTCATTATTTTTCTTGGTTAATTTTACTTATTGAATGTTTACCATAATAGCTCCATGGGTGTTTCATTGCAGAATACTGATTATATGATCACAAATTCCAATACAAGTCTGGCACAATACAAGGAATAGTTAAAAGACAATTATACATGGTTTTTCTTGATCCAGTTTTACACTTTGATAGCAATCATTGTATAGCATTTCTTTGTCACAACACAGCTATTAAATTACTCATATGATTAACATTGCTTTCTAAACTTAGAATACGGTTCAAAGAATCTCTGGCTTAAAAAACACTGTTTAATTTAGTATTCTCATCAATCCAGTGACATATTTATTTGTAGCTGTTGTTTTGCTTGGCTTAGGCAATGTGTTCTAATTACATAACCATGACATGAATGTAATCTTTCCACAAGTCAAGATAATGCTCTGTTTTTGTAGCCACTGACAGCTGTTTCAAACAGGAAAGAACTAGAAATTCCTGGGTAGGCAGACAACGCCAGGTCCAAAAAGGAGAAACCAAACAAGCAGACTATTGCTGACATTTGCCAAAACAAACCAGAACAGCTAAGTCAGCCTAAAAGCTTTCAAGGGATGGTTAATAGAGCTGTAAAGTGTGGAGGGCGTGCTTTGACTTTTGGTGTCAACAAATAGAACTGCCACTGCAAAGACTAGCGCTCTTACCCTTTCTGATCTATGGCCTTCAAGCTGAAGTACTTTCCTGGCACACAGCTATCTCTGAATGCACAATATCAATTCTAGAGGCTTTGGCTTCAAATGAAGCATTTATACCGGTTTCTAATGGTTGCAAAATGATTGATGATTGATGTGGTGTAGAAAAAAAAACTTTAGAGCACTACAGGGAACAAATAGTCTGGGACATCAGTAGTGAAAACAGTGTCAGCAGCTAAATCATTTCCAATTTTAATGACACAGTTGAATAAAACAGATTTCAGTCCCCATATCTGCGAGTGTAGCATAATAGTTACTGTACCTTTGTAAAAACCCCAAAGTAAGGCCCGGATATCTGCGATTATGAAAGATTTTACTTGGGTCTCAACAACCAAAAACATTATTCCCGTATTGCTTATTTTTTGTGACCTTCTAAAGCTAAAACCGACATTGATCATGCTCCACCGGGCAGTGGTAACCTCTGAACTCCACAGGACTCATGAATAGTACATTCTCTATTCTCAGAGGCTTCCAGTAAATTCATGGAATATTGAATTTTCATAAATATAGCTGTAAATAACGTTTCAAGGCTAAAAAATGATTAAAACATGTAAAACAAAACAGTGTAAAACATGAAAAGTCTGAAAGCAGTAGTATTTAAAAAACTCAAGAAAAACTCAAGGATAACTATGTATTCATGTGTCATATTACTGTTTATTAATTCACTCTCTTCAGAAGCTTTTTCATAATATTTTTCATTACAATTGAATGAAAGATGGTAAGAGAGTTAAAATTTGAGGAGATCAACCACAACCTTGAAACAAACACATTTTGAAATATTCACATGAAGCATTTCCATAATGAATTAAATGTTCCACTGTTTCATCTCTTCTTTCAATGCTATTTTATTGTGAACAAATGCACAACAGAGAAACACTTAACAGCATTTTATATTTTAAGGCCAATTATAGAAGGTTTGTACGAACAAAGCTGGTGATTAACATTTTTAAATCGAACCTCATTATGTGTTACTGCACATCTGTCCCCTACTATGCTGTAAACCATATTTTTCTATTATGTCTACATAAAACAATAAAGCAATAAAGAACATGAGTACAATTTAAATGAATTAAATAAGCACTGTGATCCTACCTGCCAGCAAATTTTGAAAAGATGTAAACAATAATTGCTTTTTTTTTCCAGGAGACTTCTCTCTTCTACCTAAAGTAAAGTCTCAGATGACTACTGGGCTTGTATTTTAAATCAGCAAGTAAGTTAAAGTTTTAATTTAATCCTGGCTGCAGTTAAATAAACACAATATCTAATGACTCACAAATATGTTAAGTCTTTTATTGCACATTGGCTGAAAACCATGATTATGTTGCTCTCATTTGCCGTGCAATCATGAAGATTCACCAAATACTGCTTTGTCCTTATTAAGAATGCTTCTGATCGCAAATGAGACAATCTGCTCTGTCAAAACCAATGGGAAAATCACATTTAGTGACACAACAAAAAATTGCTGTTTCTTTTTGTTTTTTTTTCTTTCAGAGTGCTATTCTAAGACTGCCATCTCTTCAGCTTTCCAGGAAAAAAACAAAATGAAAGATTACACAATACCGATACTAAGCTTGATCTGAAGATAATACTGCCTTGACATTGAGTACTGACATAATGGAGCTACCTAATCCTTAGCACTTCATTAAGTGGTCAGATGGAATTGTTTCTCACTCACTAATATCCAGCACTGTCATTTGTAGGTCACAGATGTGAACTTTGTATCAGCTATTTAATGGGAAATTGTTTCCCATTTGAAAGAATATTTGATGTTCAAAGATTAATACTGATATAGAAACAGCTAGAGGTACAGCCTAGTAAAGGCTTTCTGTTTTTCTTATTTAATATGGATTTTTTGGAAATTTAGCTTATGTGTTATTTAGAGGAGTTAATGTATTTAAATGTTTAAATGTATTAATGAATATACATTTTCTTTTGATCAAGAAATAATCATATTATCAATTAGTGACCAAGTATAGAAGGGTGCAAATTTCACTGTGCTGTCCACTTTTCACTTATTATATAAAGAAGCAAATCTATGTTGATAATGCTGTTAACATTAACAGCATAAACTAACAGTTAACAGCTGGTCAACATTTTGTCTTCTCTCGAATTGACTAATGTA